AAGGGGGTGACTGCAATACTTTTCATGTTCCATAGCAGCATTACATTTTATTGGCAGTTAATAAATAAACCTTTGGTATAGCCATTATGGAGAATAGTGGAAATTACTCAAAAAATTAAATATAATAGGACTACCATATGATCCAGCAATCTTACTACTGGGTTTGTATCCAAAGGAAATAAAATCGCCATACTGAAGAGAGATTTGTACTCTTATGTTCGCTGCAGCATTATTCACAAAGGCCAAGATAAGAAATAACCTAAGTGCCCATGAAAGATCAATGAATAAAGAAAATATGTGTGTGTGTGTGTGTGTGTGTGTGTGTATGTGTAAGCAAATATTATTCAGCTTTGAAAAAGAATGAAGTCCTATCATTTGTGACAACATGGATAAACCTGGAGGACTTGTTAAGTAAAATAAGCCAGACATAGAAAGACATATACCGCATGATCTCACTTATACAAACTCAAGGAAACAGAGATTAGAATGGTAGTTATCATTCTAATGGTAACTACTACTGGAATGGTTACCATTCTAATGGGATGGGAGGAGAAAGAAATGGGGAAATGTTGGACAAAGGATTCACACTTTCAGTAATAAAAGTATGTTCTAGAAACCTAATGTACAGTATGGTGAATATAGGTAATAATGTGTTGTACACTTGAAATTTACTGAGAAGGTTTCAAATGTTCTGTCTCACACACAAAAATGGGCACACGCGCACATACACACACACAACTTGTGAGGTGATAGATATGTTAATGAATTGGACTGTGGTTCACAATGCATATGTATTATCAAAAATCATGTGTGCCTTAAACATAAAATTTTTGTCAATCCCACCTCAATAAAGCTGGTGGGGGGGACAAAACCATTAACATGTTTAAGTGTTATTTTCATTTCATTACGATATTATAATCTTTTTTTTAAAAAGGTTAAGATTTTCTTTGCTTCACAAAAGCACAAGTTACATTTCATTCACATAAGTAAACATACTCATATTTTTCTTTAAAACATGCAGCCTTTGGGTGAATTCTTCCTACAGGCAGACTATTCCATTTTTCTTCTTTCTTTCTTTCTAAAGGGAACCACAATCTTAAAGTTGGTATGTATTTGTCCCATCTGTTTTTATAATTTTTCTGAATTTGTATATAACCACTATATACTTTTGTTTGGTTTTAAATTTATATAAATAACACATCCTTTTGCTATTTACCTGCCCTTCCAATGTTGTTTTGAAGATCTATACTAATACATCCAGATATGTTCATTCCCTTGACTATTATGTAATATATCAGAGTAACAATTTATATACTATTTATTCATCCTACTGTTGGCAGGAATTTAGGCTGTTTCAAATTTCTGCTATTATATGTGTCAGTCACATGTGCAAGATATCTCTTGGTTTAAAGTAAGTTCAATTTCATTTTTACTTTGTATTTTCTCTTTTGGGGGGGCGGGGGAGGCCGTACTGGGAATCGAACTCAGGGACACTCAACCACTAAGCCACATCCCCAGCTCTATTTTATATTTTATTTAGAGACAGGGCTCCCTGAGTTGTTTAGTGCCTTGCTTTTTGCTGAGGCTGGCTTTGAACTTGCCATCCTCCTGCCTCAGCCTCCCAAACCTCTGGGATTACCAGCTTACTTTGTATTTTCTAGATAATGAAAACTGTTCTCCCAAGTAGTTGTACCAAATCACACTTCTACCAACAGTGTGTGAATATTCCTTTTACTTTATCACCACTAACATTTGGTATTTTATAAGACTTTTTAATTTTATAAATCTGATAGGTGTGAAATGATACTTTGTTGATTTCATTTGTAATTTCCTATTTATCAATGAATTTGAGAATTTTTTTCTATGTGTTTATTGGCCATTTGGGTTTCCTCTTTTTTTGTTTCAAGACAGACTCTCAATAAATTGCCCAGGCTGTCCTTGAACTTGCAATCATCCTGAGTTGCTGGAATTACAATTATGCATTACCTTGTCCAACTAGGTTTCCTCTTTTGAGAACTATCCATTTTTCTATTTCATCTGTCCTTATATTTTATAAAGCTCTTAATTAAATGAGCTACAAATATTTTGGTATTTTAAAGTTGTTCATGGTATCATTTGTATTACAGAAGTTTAAATTTTGACACAGTCAAGTTTATCAATATTTTCCTTTATGATTTAAACTTTGTATCTTGCTCAGTGTTCCCTTATTTTTATTCCAAATAATTCCAAAGTTTTGCTTTTCATATTTAGGATCCCTAGAAATAAATTTTATATAAAGTGTGAGATAGATCCAACTATTTTTTAAAATGGTTAACAATTATATAAACACAATTTAATGAATATTTTGCTCTTTCCCATTTATGTAAAACACCACTTAAAAAAATTTCACAAACACACACACATCTGCCTTGCTTCTAGATACTTTTTTTGCTTTATTAACCTGTCTGTCCCTACACTTAAATCACTGTGACATACTGTTAGAATTTTCTAACAAGTAGAGCAATCCTCTTTGTTTTTCTTTAAAATGGTACTGGCTATTCTTGGTCATTTATTCTTTTAAAAAATATTTATACTTGTTTATATATATATATGTGTGTGTGTGTGTGTATTAATTTATTTATTTTTATTTTTAGTTGTTGATAGGACTTTATTTTTATTTATTTGTATGTGGTGCTGAGAATCGAACCCAGTGCCTCACAATGCTAGGCAAGTGCTCTACTACTGAGCTATAATCCCAGCCCCAAATTACTCTTTCATATCAATTCAATAAAACCTCATATCCTATTGGGATTTTAATTAAAATTGCATTTATATTAATTTTGGGAGAACTAACGTTTTAGGATTTCTCAAAAGGCTCAATCGATTTCATTTATTTAGATTTTTCTCTTGTCTTTCAATAGTTTTATAGTTTAGAAACTTTTCAAAAAACATTTATTCCTGGACATCTGCTTTTCATTCCAAATTCTTGATCTCATAACACTGTTAAATCTCAGCTAAGACATCACTTACTTCTACAAATACTTCTGACTTCAGACTCATTGGAATGCTCCTCGTTCATGCTCATGGATTTATTTATTCTTTTTTTTTTTTTCCCTGAATGTGACCAAGAGTTACACTAGGCATGGAAGGTACACTGGGGAATAAGATGGACAGTGCCTACTTAAAGGGGCTCTCATTCTAACTGGAGACACAGAAAAATAAACACTTTCAATTCAGGGTGACACATGCCAGTACAGGGGAAGTATACTGTGCTATGGGAATACATAGAGAAATACCTAACTCAGACTTGGGGGATGGCTGGATGGGGGGAGAAGGGTGTCTGTCAAACAATGCTTCTCAAGGAAGTAACATGTAGATTGAAACCTGTAAGAAGAACAGAAATTAGAAAACATGACAGTAACTAAATCATAGTAATGATATCCTTGTCTTGCTCTTGACTTTACTGAAAAAGCTCTCATTGTTTAACTTTAAATCATCTATTTTTGAACATATTCTATTTCTTGGCTTCTTAGCACTATTTTTGGCTCTCATACACTCTGTAATAATCATTACTTGTTTAGTGGTTCTAATTCACTCCTTAAATATTGGTATTCCCCATGGTCTCACCTTTCTCTTTCCTGTTTACATTTAATCAAATCACTATCCCTAGAGACTTTTCCCACTTCTGTTTTAAATATAAATTTAGATTCAGAGGACTCAAGATATTTTCTTAATTTTAGCTCCTACTACTACAGATTTTCTGACCTAAATTTATAACTACATACTACATGTCTCTATCCATATGTTCCATAGAATTATTATGCTATGAACATGTTAACATGCAATCTATCTACATATGGTGTACACTGCCAACTAACCAGCACCAGCAGATCTATCTCCCATATTCAGTGGACAGCACTGGCATTCATGCCTTCAGAGTCATTAATCTGAATGTGTGTTAGAGGGTATCCCCTTCTTGGAAATCATTTTATGATAGAGCACAGTCACTGCATTCAAAAGTTGTTTCAAGGATTAAATAATCACAGAAATTTTTAGGCCAAGTATTGTTGCTTTTTTTTTTTTAATGTGTCACATTTGGCTAGGCTACTATTTGCCATTTATTCAATAAAATACTAATGTGTTGTATGAAGCCTACTTTGTAGATTTAATTAAAGTCCATCATCAATTGACTTTAAGTAAGGGAGATTATTCTGGATAATGTGGATGGGCCTGATTCAATTACTTGAAATGAATTAAAAGCAGGGTTGGGGCTTCCCCAAAACAGAGAACAAAAATCACCTATAGAAAACAGCTTCAGACTGTGCCCAAGATTTCTAGCCTGTCTTTCCTGACAGCCTGCCCTAAGACTTCAGACTGGTTTTACTGGCCCCTACAACTACAGAAACCAAATCTCTACAAATCTACTACTGGTTCTGCTTCTCCAGTTGAATCTTGATTAATATACCAAGTTTGTAGTCTACTTGCAAAGGGAATTCCTTCAAAAACCTAGTAAAATTTCTAATCCTTGTTTCTCATTACTTCCATGTACCAGTAATTATACCCAAAGATTTTTTTCTGGACATGGTTCTTAAATCTATTTTTTGTTTTGCTTTTAGCTTAATCCTTGGAATTTTCTCCTTCCTCTCCATCCCACATCAGACCATCACCATCTCTTACCTGAACTAGTGATTGAAAAGCCTCCTAACTGGCTTCTCAGATTAGTTTTTTTCTCCTCTATCTATTCTCCACACTGCTGCCAGAGGTCTCTTTCTGGAAAACAAATATGATCATGTCACTATCCTTCTTAAGAATCTTTGAAGTCTCCCTACTTAAAGGAGATAAGTTTTACCCCCCTCATTGGTTTCTATTTTTAGCTTTTATTTCCTTCTATTCTCTTTGTGTTTAATTTTCTGTTATTTTTCTAACTGTTGAGATGAATGCTCAGGTCACTGATGCTTTTCTTTTTTTGTAATAGGCATTTAAAGTTTTAACTTCTCTCTACGCATTGTTTTAGTCAATTATGCCAGTTCTGATGTGTACTGTTAATCACTCAATTTGAAATTCAAATTTCTTTTGTGATTTCTTTGATAGATTATTTAGAAATTATTCTTAAAAATTTCCAAAGCTAAACTTCATGTTCCAGTAGGAACATAATAGCAATTTCCAAATTTCCCCATCTTTCTCCTAGGACCTGTGTAGAGCAACAAAGAGAAAGTTAAGAAAAAGAACAAAACAAAACAAACCCATATATCTTCAGTAAAACTAGAAGATAATAAAAAGCAGAAAATACCAAATCATAAGTAAACATGGCCCAAAGTACCCGGGACTACTAGAACCTATGCAAGAAGCCACATCTGAGCATGGGAGAATGACAAAAAGTATAAAATAGTGGAATAGCAAATTTTCACTCCCAGAAGAAAAAGTTCCTCTCTTAAGTCAGAATTGCAATATTTATAAATGAGACCGGATGGGGGAAATCTCAGAAGCAACTAGAGAAGGAGATATAGAAAGTGTCATGAGAGTAAGTGGAGGGAAAAGTTTTAGTCTCAGAAAAAACTACTCTTCTAAAAGTGAGACATGCATTTTTCTTTCAAACTTACAGGAAATTATATAAAAACTTGTATATAATTTCCCAAATTCTCTAATTGTTAACATACAAAGCAAGAAATTTAGAAGGCAGAAGTCATATCTTTTGGTAGTAGAAGCTATAAGAACCTGTGGGAACTCAAGGCTGATAGTTCACACTACTTAAATCACTTAAGTTAGAGAGGCCCAGAAGATGTGGCTATACTTTGAAGAATGAATCCACTGGCACAAAAGAGGACAGAAGTTTTGAGCAGAGAAACCAGGAAAACTATCTTGCACCTAAGAAGCAATTAATGTTCTTGGCATACATGTAATTTCCCTCTTAATAGGTAGTTTGAAAGAATGCATCTTGATCAAATATGAACAACAAAAACCCAGTATGTATCTACACAAAGATATCAGGTAAAAATTGTGTGTGGGGTGGGAAGGGCAGTGTAACATCTTTAACAACAACAACAAAAAATCAACAGACGATATCACAAAATAGAGGAAATATATCCCTACTTTTTAACATGTGTTCAAAAATGCATAATGCAGTTAAAAAGAGCTCAGAGAAGACAGAAGAGATTGCCTATCAATAAGAGGTTATGAAAAATGCACAGCAAAACTCAGCAAAGAAATGGAAAAAAAAGATTTTTTAAATTCAAAAATAAAAATTAAACTGTCACAAACACTTGGTAAAGTATACACATTGGATGGAAATTTTTAAAGTGAAAATAAGCTGATATTTATTTTTTTTAAAAAAGATATGACTTGTACCTACCTATATTTTCAAAGGGAATCTCATATTCTAAATAAAATTGACTCCACATGGCAAACTAAGTAAAAAATATCTAATAAAAGAGTCGGAAAAAATACTTTTTAGCGACCAGACAAAAAAACAAATCCCTAAAGTCAAGCTCTGCGGCAGGTGCCTGAAATCCACTATTTAGGAGACTAAGGCAGGAAGATCATGAATTCAAGACCATCCTTGGGTGCAACTCAGCAAGACACTGTCTTAAAAAGGGAAAATAAAACAAAACAAACAAACAGATCCCTTTTTTTTGGTACTAGGAACTGAACACAGGGGAGCTTAACCACTGAATTATATCCCTAGCCCTTTTTATTTTTTATTTTGAGACAGGGTCTCATGGAGTTGCTTAGGGCCTTGCAAAGTTGCTGAGACTGGCTTTGAACTTGAGATCCTCCTGCCTCAGCCTCCTGAGTTACTGGGATTACTTAAAGCTGAACTCTTTTAAGAAAAAAAAGTACACCAGCATCATTCTTCTCTACTGGGCATTCAATGTCAGAAAACAATGGATAATTTTCTATAAGACACTCAAGAAAAGAAAGTGTGAGCCAGTAATTTTGTATTTAGCCAAACAGTCTTTCATAAATAAGGCTACTGACCCTGCAAAATCTCAGCATTTATCCATATGAAACCTTCTTAAAGAAACAACTTGAGAACAAACTGAAACCACTGAACAACAGGAAAAATTTCAGCAAAAGGACTGATAGTGAGCATCAATACATTAATTGTAGATTTAAGATGAAAACAAATATATATATATATATATATATATATATATATATATACTGATGACAGAATGGAATGCAACTGTTATGTACTCTAAGAATGAGACAATATATACAAAATAAATGACTGATAGAAATAGAAAATAAAGTAGAATAAATTCAACAACTGTACCTTATGTGTAACAGGATTCAAAGTTGAAAACCAAATAGTATAAATTTAAGCAAAATTAAAGAATTAAATCACAAGGGGTAAATGAATAAACTAATAACTAGCCTAAAATTAGTTAATAAAGAGAAATAATGTTATTCGTTAAGGGAAACAAAAGACTACTTTAAAAAAAGAAAAGAAGGTAAGTATCCCATAAGGGCACAAAGGTAACCGTAAGGTGAGGGGAAACTTCTAGTATTAGAACTATCATCTAAAAAGCACAGAAAATATACCATCTAGAGGTTCAAAAACATATACAATTAGAAAAAAGTGACATAAAACAATTTGACAAAATCAAGACCTTTTTATTTATCTGGCTTCCTTTGTCCATTAAATAGAAAAAAACAAAAAGAAGCCGCAGCTTTAAAGCTTTAAGATACCATAAACCAAAACTACTCTGTTGTCATCAATATAAATCTATGGATTGAGGATGCAGCTTAGTGGTAGAGCATTTGCCCAGCAAGTGCTGGTTTTGATTCCCACCACTGCAAAATAAGGTTAAAAAACACACACACACACACACACACACACTACTGCCTAAAAAGGTATGTCCTGCTTAAATTCCTCAATATAATCTGATAAGAAAAATATCAGAGGTATAAATACCTGAAAGAAGAGATAAACCTATCAATAGTTGCAGATAATAATTATAATCTAGAAATTTAAAAAAAATCACTTGGAAAAAAGTACTATATAATGGAATTCAATAAGATGAAGATTAAAAAGTACACAGAAATTAATAAGACTTTATGTATATAAATCATAAGTTACAATCTATAAACCTATTTAATAGCAATAAAAACAAAAAATATTGAGAGATAATAAGAAATGTACAAAATTTAACTGAGGAAATCTTTAAAACTCTCCTGAAGGAAATAGAAAGATATATGTTCTTGAACACAAGGACTCAACATCTTAAAGATGCCAATTTAGATTAACTTAGTTAATAAAATAACGAAATCTCAATAAAAATAACAACTGTGCTTTCCTCATCTATTCAAGGCATTGATTGATTGATTGGTACCGGGGATTAAACTCAGGGGGCACTCAACCACTGAGCCACATCCCCAGCCCTATTTTTATATTTTATTTGGTCTCATTGAGTTGCTTAGCGCCTTGCCATTGCTGAGGCTCACTTTGAACTCACAATTCTCCTGTCTCAGCTTCCCAAGCCACTGGGATTAAAGGAAGCACCACTGTGCCCAGTTTATACAACGTATTTATAAAGACTGTGTGGTAAAAATAGGTAAAAATGGTCTTGAAAACCCTGAAAAGAGAAATGAGACCAGCTCTATCAGATATTCAAAGTCATAAAAATGGACTATGGCTATAGCTCAATGGTAGAGTACTGGCCCAGCATGTTTGAGGCTATGAATTCACTCTCCAGGACTAGGGGAAGAATTCTTTTAAGACACATGATTGATCAGTAAGTATTGGTGTGCACATGTGTACCAAAAGGGAAAAAACAACAACAAAAAACTCCACCATGGGGCTGGGGTTGTGGCTCAGCGGTAGAGCACTCACCTCTCACATGTGAGACCCTGGGTTCGATCCTCAGTACCACATAAAAATAAATAAACAATAAATAAAGATATTGTGCCCATGTATAACTAAAAAAAATTAAAAAAAAAAAAAACCACCACCACACCAAAGACAAGCTAGCTACAATATATGCAACTTGTATTACAAAGAGTTAATCTGCTTGATTTATAAAGCACTCTCAGTAAATGAGAGGAAAAAGTCCAATAGAAAAGAATGGTAAAAGACCAATAATCAGTTCATTAAAAAAGAAATATAAGGGCTGGGGTTGTGGCTCAGTGGTAGAGCACTAGCTTAGCACATGAGAGACCCTGGGTTTGATCCTCAGCACCACATAAAAATAGATAAATAAAAAGAAACATAAGCTCAGTGTTACAGCATATACCTAGCATGAACAAAGCCCTGGGTTCAATTACCAGCACTAAAAAGAAAAAAAGTGGCTTTATATAAGTGAAAAGGTGATCAAATACAAATGAAAAGTACAGAAGGAAACTATTTCTTACAAATCTGACAAAATTTATCTAGTGGCAAAGTATAAGAAAGCAGGTACTCTCACTCACTGATGCAAAATATTTACAACCTCTGGAGGGCAATCTGGCAATAACGATTGAAATTACAAATACATTTACCCTTGACCCTTCAATCTTACCACTAGAAATTTATCTTAAGATACATCTAAATATATATGAAAAGATGTTCTGAAATGGCAAATGATTAAAAACAGTCCTATTATACATCTAAAGGAGACTGGTTAAACATTTCCTTTCTCATTATTTTTATAATGGCAGACAATACTGTAATAAATTAGGAAATTCTACCCATCTAGAAAGATCAAGAATCCTTGGAGGAATGGCTAAGTCCAGGGACTGGGCAGGAAACACAAGATGAGCCTGGAATATTCTGCTGTGCCACAAAGCTAATAAACACAAATCAATTATCAATAGGACACCATACTTTTCCACATAAGAATAACAAAATTAGAAAAATTAACAGTTGGTAATATCTAGTGAAATAAATGATTTGGGGAACTACCATCAATGAATAAAAAGTAACTGAAAGGCTCATTGGAAAATTTACAGTGGCTAGATCTCTGAACCTACTGATTAATTTGATTAATCTACAGATTAATCTTAGCATCACTAAATTAGGATCACTAGTACTGTAGGTCTTCAAGCATGACATAATGAAGCATTTTTGAAATATTATGAACCAAAATTGAATTAAACTTTCATGTCTTTTATTTTCAGGAAATATGGGGGATAGAGGATCAAGGTAATTAATTACTCAAGAAAACAAAAAGACAAACTCAGATTTGGGGATAGTCTACAGGACAAGTGATCAAGTTTCTGCAACAAGTCCATGACATTAAAAAGGAAAAAGAAAAAAAAACCAAACACACAAGAGAAGGAAATGGGACTATAAAAAATGCATAATAAGCAAAAGTGATGTGTGGATCTTGTTTGAATTCTGATTAGAATCAACTAACTAAGCCGGGCGCCATGCCACACACCTGTAATCCCAGCAGCTTGGGAGGATGAGGCAGGAAGATTGAAAGTTCAAAGCCAGCAACTTCGAAAGGCCCTGTCTCTAAATAAATTATAAAAAGGGCTGGAGATGTGGCTCAGTGGTTAAATGATGCTGGGTTCAATCCCTAGTATCAAATTAGAAAAAGAAAAAGAAAAAAAGATCAACTAACTAGAAAAAGATGTATTTGAGACAATCAGGGAAATTTGATCTAAGACATGATATTAGAGAGTACAAAACAATGATTATTTTTCATATATGAAAATAACATTTTTTTGCTATATAATATTCAAACTTGCAGAGGTATTTAGTGTAGGCAAAATAATATGCTGTTCAGAATCTGATTTAAAACTTCACAGTATAGGATGAAATGGAGATAGATTAAGCAAAACTAGAAAAATCCTGACAATCTGAATAATAGTTACATATATATAGCAGTTTATCATGATGTTCACTTGACTTTTATATAAACTTGAAAATGTTTCTAAGAGTTGGGCATAGAAGTACACATCTGTTATCCCAGTAAACTCAGGAGGATGAGTTCAAGGCCAGCCTGGGCAACTTAGTAAGATCCTATCTCAAAATAAAAATTAAAAAAGGACTGGGGATGTAGCTCAGTGGTACACTTTCTGTGGGTTCTATCCCCAGTACCCCCTCAAATGAAAAGAAAAGATTTGTAAGAGAACACCTTAAAAATGAGAATGCAATTAGCAACACATTATGTACCACACCTAGGGTCACCAAAACCAACAGATTTTCTTTAATATATGTATTTTATAATAAAATGTTATCAAAGAGTTAAGAGGACAAAGGTGAATTAGTTGTAAGAGAAGACTTCTCAGATGATCGTATCAGGGCTTTTATGCTTGTTTTCATGCATATGCTTCATGTTAAGTAGCATTCCAGGTCAAGTTCTGCATAAAAACATTTGAAATAAAATGCAACAAAATAAAAAGTTTTCCCAGTTTGTCATAATACATGTCTGAATATTACTTCAAGACACCAGTACATGTAATTATATACATAAAATTTATACACACATGCCATATAGAAATCAACTATCCAATTCAGAATATGGTTTTAGTTCCCTTACCATCGATATTAAGCATCATTTTCCACATGGCAGGTCGAACAGATTGATGGAATCCAAACCATACTTCCCTGCCCCCTCCCAGAGGGTGGTCATATCCTTCTGGAGCTGAGAAAAAGGAACGCCCCACAGGCGTATATCTAAAAAATTAAAATGGTGTGTTCAATACTTTCCTTTCCATGCAAGTATTTAAATCTGCAGAACAGGGGAAACTAAAGCACACACAATTAATTTATCATAATGATGCTTAAAATTATGACTATATTAAACTAAACATTTTTCAAGTTTGTGAAAACAAACATTTTGCAAGTTTGTAAAAGCAAAAAGTAGCCAAATCCATCTGCATCCTTCACTGAAATTCTCCATTCTCATAATCACTAGTTTATGTAACACATTTTATTTAAAATACTTTCTTAAAAACAGGTTAAAAAAGTAAACAGTTCCACTGAGGCAGGAGGATGTCAAGTTCAATGCCAGCCTCAGCAAATTCGAAGCACTAAGCAACTCAGTGAGACACTGTCTCTAAATAAAATACAAAATAGGGCGGGGGATGTGGCTCAGTGGTTGAGTGCCCTGGAGTTCAATCCCCGGGACCCCCTTCTCCCCCCCAGAAAAAGAAAAAAAAAAACAAAAACTCAACAGTTCCAAACTTAAAATGTAGAGTAAAAATAATAATTGATCAAAAAGCTATGCCTATGTGTTTCAAGACACACTATTTCTATAAAAAGACATATATGACCAATATATGCATATGTCCACACACGTGATTAAAATAGTAGGAATCTCAATACAATCTGATTCTATTCTTTAAATGGTGGAATTACTTTTAAAACAAAGTGACTTAACAATAGGAATATGTCTGAAAATATATCATTTATCCAAGACTTATAGAGGGAGGGTTGGACATTTTTCTATAAAACAATTTACGATCTAAGTGAATGATTGTATATTTATTTGCAAAAGTCAGAGAATTTTCTGTAACACTTTTGTCAAATTTTTATGCATGGTATTCTTATTCAAATGAAATACTAAAAATGTACAACATATGAGAGTTAGCTAAGGAAGGTCTGTACAACTCTTAGGAGGAAAAACTTCACATTTAAAATCTAAAGAGGAAAAAAGCCAGAAGCACCCACTTCATGGAGGGCAGATGTCGTAGCACCACATCAACGGCATGAACAGGGTTAGTGCTGATTGGCTTGTCTAATTCCAGTGGCTCAGGCAAGGTCCGTCCTGTCAGTACTTCATGAAGTAGGTGCCAACTCACCCGAGAGACAAATTTGATTGATACCTTGAAAGGTCGATCTTTTCCACCTTCCCCAGGTAAAGTAACATCTAAATCCACCTGTTCATGGGATAAAAGTCAAGTGGTAAATATTTAAGAAGCTAAATGTAATTATTTAACTTATAAAAATATCTTTTAAAAAAAAACGGTTGGTGTTGGGGCTCAGTGGTAGAGCACTTGACTGACATGTGTGAGGCCCTGGGTTCAATCCTCAGCACCACATAACCACATAAAAATAAATAAATAAAATAAAGCTGTTAAAAAAAAATCTCTTGTAACTGCCATGGAATAATTTCTAAGCTATAACATTAACCAAAGTACAAAAAAAAAAATCACAAAAATATGATATATTTGGTATGAGAAGGGAGAAATGAGAAAATATTCACATATCTGCTTACTTTTTCAAAAGGAAACATAGGAAACATGAGCTAGAAACAAATAAATTGGATGAAGGGGGTTTTCTACTGGCCAGATTTGGGACAAAGGATAGATCAATCAATAGAGTAGAAGAAAATGTTCTTTCTTACACTAATAAATGTTTAAGAAATGACAGGTTAGAAAACCACTGTTATTATTAAGCAATATCCTTTCAAGCAAGAATCATCAACTGCTAAAAAGTGTAAAAGAAATAATATCCTTAACAGTAACTCCTATATCAAAATTTAAAACTTCTGAGCATCAAAGGATACAATCAATAGGGTAAAAAGGCAGCCCATAGAATGTGAGAAAATATTTGTAAATCAAACATTTGATAAGAAATTAATATCCAGAACATATAAAGAATTCCTCAAGCTGGCTGCAGTGGCACATGCCTGTAAACCCTGCGGCTTGGGAGGCTGAGACAGGAGGATCATGAGTTGAAAGCCAGCCTCAACAAAAGTGAGGCACAAACTAACGCATCTCTAAATAAAATATCTCTAAATAAAATACAAAATAGGGGTGAGTATGTGGCTCAGTGTCCGAATGCCCCTAAATTCAATTCCTAGTACCCGCCCCAAACAAGAATTTCTGTATTAGGGTATGTAGAACATACCTGTGATCCCAGCAACTCAGGAAGCTGAGGCAGAAGAATTGCCAGTTTGAGGCCAGCTCAGCAACTTAGTGAGACACTGCCTCAAAATTAGGGGAAAAAAAAAAAGGACTGGGGATATGGCTCAGTGGTACAATACTTGCCTAACAAGTACAAGGCCCTGTGTTCAATCCCCAGAATTGCCAAAAGAAAAAAAAAAAAGCAACGAAAAATAAAAAAATAGAATGACTGGGAATGTAGCTCAGTGGTAGAGTGGCCCTGGGTTCAATACCCAGTACTCCTATAATTCCTATAAACTCCTATAATTCTAGTAAAAAACAACCCAAGTTAAAAAAATGGGCAAAGGACACAAATCAAAACCACAGTGAGGTTGATACCTCACAATATGACATGCATATTGTGCCCATTAGATAGCTACTATCAAAACAGCAGAAAATAAATATGTAAATATGTATATGAAGAATTTGGAACCCTTGTAGATACTTTGGTAAATAAGGTAGGGTTATTTTTTATTTATTTATTTATTTATTTTTTGCAGGGGGTTGGGGGTGGTATGAGGCCAGGGGCACTCTACCAATAAGCTAAAACTCTAGTTCTTCTTATTTTTTATTTTAAGAAAGAGTCTCACTAAGTTTCCCAGGGCAGCCTCAAACTTGCAATCTTCCTGCTTCAGCTTCCAGAGTCAATGGAATTACAGCCATGTGCCATTACACCTATTAGTATGGTATTAAAATTTTTTTTTCAGGCTGGGGTTGTGGCTCAGAGGTAGAGCGCTTGCCTAGCATGCATGAGGCACTGGGTTCAATTCTCAGCACCACATAAAGTAAAAATAAAGATATTATGTCCAACTATAACTAAATATATATATATTTTTTTTTAAATTTTTTTTCAAATAATAATTACCATATGATCTAGCAATATTACTTGTGGTTATATGCCCCAAAAAATTGAAAGCAGAATTTCAAAGTGACATATATATACCCATGTTCAGGGGAGGATTATTTTCAATAGCCAAAAAGTATTTATAACAGATAAAAAGCATGGGTAAAATGTGTTATATATGTATAATAGGATATTATTCAGCCTTGAAAAGGAAGGAAATTCCAGCATATACTATAACATGAATAAACCTTGAGAACAACATGCTAAGTGAAATAAGCAAGTTTCAAAAAGGTAAATACTGGGGGGCTGGGGATGTGGCTCAAGCGGTAGCGCGCTCGCCTGGCATGTGTGCGGCCCGGGTTCGATCCTCAGCACCACATACCAACAAAGATGTTGTGTCCGCCGAGAACTAAAAAATAAATATTA